GTAGGAGTTTAACCACATCAGGGAACAGCTTTGTTCTGGGAGTGAGACAGAGGGAACACCACTGCTCTAAGTCATTGAGGTATCCTTTTTAAGTGGCTGCAGAGCAATGCTAAACATTTCATCTGCGTAATAAGCTCACACATAACTTACAATATATACTTGTTTTATATTATGTGCAACATGGGGATTCTTTTTTTATTAATCAGTTGAAGTTCTCATCCCGTGGAAGCCCAAAGGCCTGACAAATGAATTCCTGCTCATTCACACCTTATTGTGCTTTAAGGGCTATTAAAAGTTAGAAGACTGCTAACACGAGAAGTGATAAAAGCCCCAAATAATTTGATCAACACAAAGAAGACCAAATACCCCTCTGCACCCCCATCCAGAGCAGCCCAGTGTAGTTCAGTTAACTTGCTTATGTCACTCGAGAAACCTCAGAGCTCTGTTTTGCCAACAATAGTCTCAGTGTGTAAGGGGCCGGGGGGCCTCTTTGGCACCACAGCTGCAGGTCGTAAATACAGTTCTGGAGATTATGATATTAAAGTGTCCCTTTTGGAGGCTGCAGAGCAATGCCTGAGGTATTGCCTCCTGCCTCCAAGGAGCCTGGTTGCTCCCAGAGCTGTGAGGTGACAGTATGGAGCACACTTGGAGAGGTTCCCACATGGGGATTACCTCTTCACAAACATGATATTTCTGCCCTTTCCTGTGTTAGCCAGGGAGTGTAACAGCCTTCCAGTGTCTGAAGGGGGCTTACAAGGATGCTGGAGAGGAACTCTTCATCAGGGACTGGAGTGGTAGGACAAGGGGTAATGGGTTCAAACTGAAAAAGGGGAAGTTCAGGTTAGATACAAAGAAGAAGTTCTTTACTGTGAGGGTGGTGAGGCACTGAAACAGGTTGCCCAGGGAAGTTGTGAATGTTCCATTCCTAACACTATTCAAGGCCAGGTTGGACAGAGGTTTGGGCAACATGGTCTAGTGTGAGGCATCCCTGCCCATGGCAGGCGGCTGGAAGTGGATGAGCTTAAGGTCCCTTCCAGCCCAAACCATTCTATAATGCTATGATTTCCTGCAGAAGGCTCTTGGACTTTGGTTGAAGTGGTTTGCAGAACATGGCTTCAGTGTACAGAAGGTAAAGGATAGGTACATGCTTCAAGAAAAGCACTGTGCAGACCAAGTCACACACAGCTGAAGCACCAGCCTGTCCTTGTGTCTTTCTACACATTCATAAAACAGTAACAAAAAGAGAAGGGGGCAGGTGGAAAAAATCACTTGCACCAGTGCAAAGGAGGGGAATGTTTTTACCTGGGTCCTTCTCACTGTCTTACTCATACTTATTTCCAGATTCTTTTATCCTATTTTATGTCAAAAGGTTTTTGCTTTCCAGCTCCCTTACTCTTGAAAAATGCAATGTTTGACAGCACTTTAAACAGTGAATTGTGCCTGCAGAAATGTTCACTTCTAGAAGCAACAATTACAGTCTGTCAGAAGTTTAGGCCTTCGTTATTTATGCTCATATTCATCATTCATTTTTCAAATGTGTATCTCTAAGAGGGAACAGACTTTTTCCATATAAATTCAGCTTCTGCAAGGAACCACTTGAGCAGGAAAAGCAAAACTGATTGAGCTTGCCTGTGCTTTCCTCAAATCAAAGGAGAACTCTTAGTTCAGCATCTTGTCAGTGAATTGTGGCAGAGTTATTAACAATCTGTCTCAGTTATTAAGTACCTGGAATTTATAAATCTTTCAGGGAGGCATTTAATATACAAATCTCTGGATGTTAATGGAGCTCCTGATGGCTATCTCTCAGCAGGCTGTGGACACTAAGAAACGTGTCATCTTGAAGATGTAGTAATAGGACAAGGGGTGATGGGTTCAAATTTAAACAGGGGAAGTTCAGGCTGGAGATAAGGCAGAAGCTCTTCCCTGTGAGGGTGCTGAGGCGCTGGCACAGGGTGCCCAGAGAAGCTGTGGCTGCCCCATCCCTGGCAGTGTTCAAGGCCAGGTTGGACACAGGGGCTTGGAGCAAGCTGCTCCAGTGGAAGGGGTCCCTGCCCGTAGCAGGGGTTGGAACTGGATGATCTTAAGATCCTTTGCAACCCAAGCCATTCTATGATTCTATGTATGAATTAAGCCTGTTGATGTAGATTGTTTGATTGATTGCTATAAAACTGCTTTTTTGGCTCTTGCTGCTTTAGGACGGGTCAGATTCTATCTCTGCCTTGTACTGGAGATGCGTTGAACCTTGTGTGGTCTGACTGAGGTAGGTTAAGAGCCTGTTCTATTTTTGTAACTGTGCAAAATGGCTTTTGGAGACATTTGTACTTGTGTTAGCTGATAAATTCCTTACTTCCTTAAAGGGGAAAGTGCTAAACCAATGGAGGTGACTTTGGCTTTAAGGGTGTGGCACTGCAACTATTAAGAAGGACCTTTCCTTATTTTCCCCATGCTTTTATTCAGTCCCCTTTGTTATGCTGATTCAAAAGAAGCATCAATGCAGGACTGGCACTCACCCTGTGTGGAAGTAGAATGTAACTGGCATCTCTGAGTGTGTGTGGAGTATTTTACACATGTATCACAAGGTCAGTGAAAATTCAGGGCAGGGGGGCTTCAAGTAACAGGCAATGTACTCTGGACTCTGCCAGTCACTGTCCAAGCACTTGAGACTGCTCTGGCACTGAGTACTTACCTCATCTACAGGGACAGGTCTTAGAAGGGAGCTCCTTGTGTTTAATACAGTCTGTTCACTTAGAAAGTCTGAAAATGTAACATTTAATTCTGTCTTCCTTAATGTTGTTTCTGTGAGGGCAGCACCTAAATCTTATAGGTAGCACTAGAGGAAAATGAGTTTTCTTGAAACTAGGAAATAATCCTGTGAATGGGTGAAAACTTTCTAGTGACAGCTATAAGAAGACTGTAAAACAGTCTTACCAGCTCTTCTTCCTCCAGCTTCCTGCCTTCCATCAGAGATCTTCCTTCCTTCCAGAATCAGCAGAAAACTGTAAGAGATGTGTAATTTTGTTCTCTGAAGGTGGAGTTGAGTGGTTTTACAACGTGCCTTTAGAGCTAATAATGATTCAAAGTTAACAGTCACATAACATCTATTTTAGAGCAAACCTGCATAACAAATAATTCTGTGTAGAAACTCACAGCTTATGCCTTTGCACAGGGCATTAATTTGGATGGAATTAGTTCTTGACACACTTTGTCCGGTTAACTTCAGTTTCCATCTCCAGCATGGTTGTTGCTATTTAGTAAAAGCTTCCTCCTGGACGAGGCCTTGGGTAATATGGTTTAGTGTGAGGTGTCCCTGCCCATGGCAGGGGGGTTGGAACTTGATGATCTTAAGGTCCTTTCCAACCCTGACTATTCTATGATTCTATGATTCTATGCAGGAAGTGTATCTGTGATGTAGGCTTGAGGTGTAGCAAGTTGTGATGCCTGAAAGTTGGCCCCTATGGACTGGGTTTAAATTGCCAGAACACACTCTGTTGTATAAATCCCATCTAGCATAGGTGGGTGCAGGGTAAGGAGAGCATCTTCTCAGCAGCAGAACAGGTCTTTACTTGGGGTGGATTAACAGTTTTTCAGCTTCAGCTTTTAGGTTATTTTAAATGTGCACCTTAGGAAGGTAAGTAAGAGCTATTGCAGTACTTCATTTGGAGTCAGAAGATCTTTCACCACGCTGCTGCCTATTCAGAATGATTAGAGAAAGAATATCATGAAGGCGTGGGAGAAAGTGGGATGGATTTGTTTGCAGTCATCTTTAGTAGAGAAAAGCTTTTTCCTTCCTTCATTTTCCAGGAGGAAATGAAGATCACATCCATTTCCTTCTCAAAAAAATAGAGGTTTTGTCCACTTTAAGGTCTGAACAAGATCTTTACTGGCAGTTGGCAATATGTGACACAGCATTCCCTGAGTGTCAGGCTATGTAAGGCATTAATCACCTTGTGAAGCTCTTAACAGCAGTAATAGATTATTTTACAACTGTTAGGGATCCTAACAGTAATTTTACTAATTTGAATGTAAAGCACGTGAACACTGTAAGTGAATTAGGACATAATGCTCAATAGAGATGTTTGCTCACAATTTAACATCTCATTCTCAAGCTATTAGTTGTTTACTGATCTGCAGCAATGAAGTGCTAAAAGCTAAATACTGTGAAACGTTAAAATTCGATGAAAGATATGAAGACAGAAATGGTTTCTTTTGCCAACACTGTGGTCACCAGCAGTGCCCTGACCTGATTACTTAAGCTGATGTTTTTCCTCAAGCTGTCATGAATCAGTAATGATCAAGTTTTGCAATACTCAATGATTCTCTTGTGAATAGCAAAAGGATTTGTTATTGTAGGTTGGTCTGTTGTGAAAAGAAGTGTTCAGCTCTTGCATCTGCAGGCTCTATACAGTATGTTTTGCTGCCTTTTTTGCCTATGGAATGCCATAACAAATCTCCTGAAGAGTTCCACAAAATGTGAGGAAAATTCAATCTGGCCTAATGTGGAAGTAACCCCTCTGGTGTCTTTTAAATCAACTTTTGTGTCAGTGTGTTTTTCCATTCATAGTTGGAAGATAGCCAGTACAAGGATTCAGTTATAGGGCTTGACTTGTAGGCCTTCTAATAGGAAAAGGAACTTGTACAACATATTATTGTTATTAGTGGGGTGTTCACATAGTAATTTAATATGGTAGTTCCAGAAAACATTCCCTTTTCCCTTGCACTGAGTGTGGTGTAGTTGAGGTGTGTTGTCAATGGGGTCAGGAGAGGGACTAGGTCCCTGAGTGAAGCTGGAAATTCAATCCATGCTTCCCATGATTGTGGTGGCATAATACTACCAGTAATCCTTGCAGCACCTGACTGGTTTTTCTGTGAAGAAAGAGACCAAAATGAGGGGAACTTCTCAGTTAAAGGGAATCATTTCAATCATTTAAAAAGAAAAGGGTGGCATGGCAAAACTTCTGTGGGGCTTATTTAAAGGATGCGTTTGTTTTTTGTCCATGCAGATCTGTGGCTAGAGCCCTGTGGAAATCAGACTTTGCTTCAAGCTATATGTGAAGTTCCTGTGGAGCCAGCCCTTTCCCAAAGCTCATAGAAGGAATGCAGCTGAGTATGAGGTAAGTGGGACTGCTCTCCCCATGTGGCAGAGCTCCTGTGAGCTGATTGACAGCAATCATTTGTTGGCTGATGGCTGAGCCTTAAAGGGGAGAACATACAAACAAGCAAATCTAAATGCAGACTTTGATTTGAGGGCATAGTCTGACACTGGTGGAGCTTTATCCAGCTGATAGCAGGGAAAAAAACATAAGAAAGGATAAAGCCAGAGGAAATTTGAACCAGGCAGTTCTGTTCTGATGCAAATTGCTTAACATAGATTTGTGGTTTTAAGTATATGTGCACATTAAAAGAATGCTGACCTTTAAAACCATGGTTTCCTATAAATTGCTATTGTTGCTGTTCAATGCATATGGACTTACAAGCAGCAGAAATACCATAAACCTATGGGATTGGGAATGCACCATGGAAACAAAGAGCACCCTGGCAAAATAAAGAGCTGTTTCCTCCATGGTGCTCTCCATTAAAAAGTCAACTTGGCATAGTTCCTTCTGAAATCCACATACCTCTCAAAGAGAAATGCATGATAAACTGGTGAATTAGATGGTAACCACTGTGCTTTGCTTTAAAACAAAGGCGGCTTTGATAAGATTCCTGAGCCGAAGTTATAGGTTGTGGATCCATAATGTAGGAATGCAATGAAATGAATTCCTCGTTGAGATAATGGAGATCTGGAAATGTAGAGCTGCCCTCTAGTGTCGCAATGACGGTATAAGGTGTGCTCAACTGGTCGGGAAGCAGAATGTGTACTGGAAGGCAAAGCAAAACGTGCAAGTATCTGTGAAGGGATTCTATAGCTGCAATTCAAGTGTCAGACCAGCAGTGGGGAAGGTGTAATATTAGTCACATAGCACAGGCATGGTGCCTTCTGCTGAGGTCTTTCACCACATGAAGTACGGAAGAGCTCCATAAGCTTTATATCCAGGGCTTGTTCCAAAAATCCTCCATGTATTAAAGAAGTTTGAATTTAGACATTTGCTTCAGCTCATTTTGGGCAGAGAGATCACCTGTGGAACTGGGATGGAGCTTCACAGCTGAACTTGCTCTAATCTGGGACTGTTGAAAGCAATGGCTTTGTCCAAGGTTATTCTTTTCTAGATGAAAGAACTCTTCCCTGAATGCTGCATTAATCTCCTTCACTTCTAGTTTGCATAGTCTTCTGCTCTGGTTCGTGAAGAAAGGAACCTTTGTGCATGAAATGAGCCAAAATTATGACTCCTCTGAAGAGACTCACCTTAAAAAGAAAGATAATGTCTTTATGGAGAGTGCCAGCATATTCTAACCTGGTATATGCAATTAAACTAATTTTCCTCTTGTTTAAACTGTGGTTATAACTACTCCACCCCCTTAGGTCAATTTACTTCTTTAAAATTGCATGAAAAAGAATCAGAGTAAGTTATGTAAGTGATGTAGCAAGCTCTTACATACAAACATTGTGTCCTTTGGGAAGCTTCATTTGTTGCCTTGTCAGAGCAATTAACTAACCCTCTATGATACAGTTACTTGGAAAAGCCTGGGAGTTTCTGTAATGGTTTCAGGGGTGTCTTTCCATGAGGCTGGTTAGTGAGGGTTAAACCTTTCTGTCCTGGTACAGTATGTTCTGAAGCTGCTGTTGGGCCTTCATTTCTGTGCAAAATGGGGGTTCTGTTTCAATTTGGCAACCTGGCAAGACCAGGAATTCTAAATGCAATGCTTTGTCTTAAGGTTGAGGTTCTGGGAATAGCAGAGTGTTTCAAATTCACAAAGAGCGTGCCACAAGAGGATTTGGGAGTAGGTGCATTACTCCAGCATGGTTTTTGAGATGACAATGTATATATGTGCAAGAGAAGAGTGAGACACAGAGGAGAAGGGTATGGAAGGCTCTTGTTGAGAAGTTTCTTTGTGTGTATTAATATCGGTGTGCATAAAAGTAGAAGTAAAGATAATATTGATTACAAACAGTTTTAACCAATGGTTACTCCTTATGCAGAGCCTTCAGAAGATCAAAATGAGAGGGAAGGCTTCTGCTTGGGGAAGTCGGTGTGACAAGCAGAGTCTAAGGAGCATTGATAAATCAGGTTTTCCTTTATCCACACTTATTGGGTACATCTCCCTCTTATTCATGTTTCCTACAGCCTCTTTTGTTTTGCTCTTAATGAATGCAATACTTAGAAAGCAAAAATCAGCTTTCTGGGTGCAGAAGTCCTGAAGACATGGACAGAGCTGTGAACATACATGTACACATTGTGAAAAGCACATGCATACATGCCTACACACAGAAAGAATACATGCAGCTGTGTAAGAGCCTCTGCTCTCTTTGTCTCCATGGGTTCTGTAAAGGCTTTTCTGTGCTAAGTTACACAAAGCAGATTTGGAGAAAGCTGAAGGATTAGGTAACTCAATGGGGCTACTCCTTCCTGCAGGTTGTGAACCATAATTACTAAAGATGGTGTTGCTCCAGGTTATCTCTGGGATTAGGAGCTAAAAGGATCCCTTGTAATGTGCATCTGATGGAGCTGTGTAACTAGAAGTCAGAGTGTGGTGCTGGAGGCCACAGCCAAAGAACCCTCCAGAAAGTCCTGACCTTCTCTAAATCACTGCAAATGAGGCAAAATCTCTTCTTCAGTGGGCTGATGTTGACTAATGTGTGTGACTGTCCCCTCCAAGTGCTACTCTCTTGCTTTTAATGTAAGAATGGACATCTTGGTTCAGTCCTCTTAGTCAGAATGTTCTTTGCCCTGTCCTGAATCCGATTGAAGAGGATGATGGTAGTGTCTAACACTGATTTCTGATGTGGGGAGATGCATATGCCCCACAGAAATTACTCAGTGATTTCCCAGACACTTAGAGGCAGACATGAGCTGGACACTTCCAGGGATAACTAAGTCCAGTTAGACTCTGTGGTAATGATCAGAGAGAAGAGTATCTGTTAATTCATATGAACTATACTGATGCCTGAGTCTTTAAAACTTACCAGTCTCTCTGCTTAGGATAGGCACATGGGAGTTGAAGCTGGTGCACATGCTTTGGGGCAATACTGAAATAGTAGTTCGATAATATTGTATTACCTCTGTCCCTTCATGTGGGATATTTTGTTTCCCATCTCACAATGCCACATATCCAGGAGTAGGTGTTGCTTTCCCTGCTTTTCACATCAGTCACCATCAGCCATACATAGCTACTTGCTACCCTCGTATTCACTGTTCCCCCTGTTCCTGTGCTTCAATGCTTCCCATAGATGAGAGTTAAGAAAGTAGTTTAGGATATCTGAAACAAAAGAAAACAGTCAACAGAGGAGCAAACAACTGCTTTGTGCTTAGGAACATCTTCACCTTTCATCAAGCCTCCCAGAACTGCTCTGAGGCTGGAACATGAAGCCGTTGCTGGCTCCTCTGGTGCCTGTTTTACTTTGTGTGAGATACTTGATGCAGATTATATCTTCACCAGACTACCTGTGGAGGTTCATTTGCATGAGAACAACACTTAGAGTATCCTTCAGGCATATGGTAGAAGATGCAGAATCTCTAGGGAAGCTCATATTGCCCTGTAGATGCACAGCCAAGAATATAACTTAGATTCCAAGGGAAGGCACAGTCTCATTCAGGCATTCAGTGGGGGGTATCACCTCTGCAGTGGGTTCCAGCAGGGAAAGAACTGTCAGCGTCATGGGCTGTGATTTGTTTCCTGCACAGGCTTGGCAGGTCTCCACAAACACCAGGTATCTGTCTAACTGAATTTGCAAGTTCCTCCAGCTGCCCTGGGGAGCTTGTAAGTTCCTTGAACCTCATTCCTGCCCCCATGGACGTTACAAGCTGTGACTGCTTTGCCAGCAGAGCTGGTAAGTTCCAAGAACCCCGCATAGTGGATTCACAGAAATTACAACCCTGCTGGCCACACTGGTCAAACGAGAAATGTTTTGGAGTTTCCTAAGCTTTAGCTGTTTCTCCATGTAATTTACAAGTTCCAATTGTGCATCTACGTAAAGGACTTTGGCACAAACAGCTGGAGTTGTTGGTGGTTACAGGCTCAGCCAGCACCGTGCATAAGCAGCACTTGGGGAATTTGCAGTGCTGACGGTTTCTCAGCAGAGCTTGTAAACCTGGTGGTCTCTGGACAGAATGGTTTTGAAACTGCCCCTCCTGTTGATTTAGCAGAGGAGATGCTGCTCTTGCCATCCTCGGGCTTCAGGGATGGGGTATAATCTATCACATCATTAAATGACCTTTGCTTTTATTGGAGCCTGAAACTGTGATTCATGGAGACAATAAATTCTGCCTCTCAGCTGGCAAGTTTTGAAGCCTCTCAGTGATGTCTCGATGTGTCAGAATGGAAATATAAAAGTCGCTATCTGTGAATGAGAATATCAATTTTGTGAGGTTTCTACAGAAGGATATAGATGACAGAAGTTTGTAGGTTTTGTCAGAAGGTTTTCCTCTGGTGAGACCAGACATGCTGTATTTAGATGGCAAAAGGAGGGCGTGGTGGGATTTTCAGTTTATAAGTTTAGGGTAAATAGGGTCAAAACATGTGCTACCCTGATGTTTTGTCTCACAGAATTCAGAAGTTACTTATTGACTGTAGTACTGCTTTTAGGAAGAAGTAACACTCCAGTTTCCTCATCAGAGCTACATTTGAAGAATCTCTAGCAAAAGGAATAGAAAGATGCTGAACTTTCCTTATGGACAGCATGCACTATATTACAGCAACAGCTTGGATCTATGGATCCTACATAATCTTGATGCCTTTTCCCTTCCTATTCTGTAGACACCAAAAGGAGGTAGAAACAACTGTTATTTAAGTGTGTAAAACTGTGTAAGTTGCATCTTGTTCTTTCATGAAATTTGGAGCCTGGAGTTGCAACTTTAGCATTCAACACCTCTTTTTGTGTGTGTGGTTATGTATGTAAGTGTTCATATACAGTATAAATGGATGTGAACCAGCAGACTTTGTTACATATATAGAAATAATATGGCCTCCTGGATAGATTGGAAAATGATAGGAGAAAATAAGAAACTTACAGACAGAGTAAGAAAAATTGAACAAAACAGGATGTTATTTATATCAGGCTAAGGATTTAGAGCCTTCTGTGACATGGAATAGCATTCCTGAGCCCATGACTTAAAACAAAGAAGTACTGGGATGTGCCTCTGCATCTGTCAGCAGCTGCAGTGCCTGAGAGAGATTTGTGTCCTATGTTATAAAAAATGATTTCCTTTATCTTACTAAATACTACAGCTAAAATAAATCCTGTGGTCCTGTTTGCTGGTGTGTGCTCACTGAGCAAATGGTACTTTCAGAGTAAACACACTTGCAGAACTGGGAAGTGTCTAGTTTTGTGTTTGCTGTTGGCTCCATGAAGCGTGTGCCATGGTGTGGTTACACTGCACACTGCCAAAGGCACTGTTGGAGTTACACACTGCCACATGCACACGTTTTTCTGTGTACATTATTACCTAAAACTGTGCTTATGCCATCAGGCAAACAACAGTAAAGATCAGAAAGGAGACTGCTGGTTGGATATGCATTTCCAGTGTCTGCCTTTGTGTTCTTGCAGGTAATAGCAGGGCAGCTCCAAGGATATTACAGGATTGTGGGGAGAGCAAAGAAAATGATTGATCATATAAAATCCCCTGGAAATGCTTCCCTCATAAAGAGCTGTCCTCTGTTAGCTGACACACAGGTTGTTAATCTTTCCCTTTCCTCTAAAACAGGGAATGTGGCAATATATCTTTATGGCAGAGCAGTTTTTCTGTGTCCACAGGCTCTCTCGTTGCAGCTCTGTGCATTGGATTAGTTGAGCTGTGTGCCACTGTAACCTTCTGTGGCCGTCTTCTGATGTAACTCCTTCTTCCAAACATTGTGAGCAGTCACCTCATCTCCTGGGTGGCTGCTCTGCACATCTTTTTTCCATTATATTAGTAGTAAATGAACCAGCAGTTGTGAATCTTCAGCATCCCCCTCTCCTGACTGGCAACTCTTCCTCTCCTTCATAGTCAGTGAGTGAATAGAATTTGCTGAAAGGAGCAGGAAGACAGCTCTCCAGTGACTTGAGCTTTGGACTTGATGTGCATGACGCTAAAGTTGATTTAGTCAAAGTTATCAAAGGATAAAACTTGTCTCATGTTTTCCCTTTTTGGTTGAAGTTAAGTCCCACTTTACAAGCTTATTCTACGTATACAAATATATATCTATCTCTCAACTATAATGATTGCAACTGTTGAGAGTAATTAAACTGCAAAGCTATGTTATTACAGACTCAGCAAGAACACCCAAAAGCAGAAGAATTTGCAGTAAAGACTATACAAATCCATCCTTAACTAGTCCACAGTGAGTAGGGATTATGTAGCACAGTGACAGCATTTGCTGTACAGAGGATCCCTGCAAAATCTAGACATAACGGACTGCACAGAGGACAGTGCACAGCTGAATGTTCCAGGATTATGATTCTGGGATTTTCTCTATTTCTTTTAATAGCCATGGCTTTGCCTTAAAGGGTGTAGCTGAAAATCATTTTAGATAAGCAGGACTTTTCAGTCCAGGGTTTTGCCTTGACAGTCATCTGTAAAAAATGTGAGCTGATGTTTCATTCCAGGATAATGAGCAAAAGGCCTGATTCTGCTGTTAGATTTGGGTTTATGAATCATCAAAAAGTACATTAACCTATGTGTGTGGGTGGCTTGCAGCAGCCTGTGCCCCAAGCTGTTGCTCCATCAGGACTGAAGAGTCATCCAAAAGGGTGGACAGTTTTGTGCTCCTTCTCTGCCTGTGCTGAGAAATGGTCCAAGTGGGAGGTGGATTGACCAAAACCAGGGAGGCTGAGGACCTCCGTGCTAGTTACTCATACCCTGCTGTGAAATGGGCATCTCTGGAGCCCAGTTCTTGGGTGTAACTTATGTCATGAGCCTGATGGAATAAATATGGCATCTAAACATCTCCAAGTATGTGGTCAGGAGAGAGAGGGGCCTGTCGTTTAAAACATCTTTCTACTTGCTGAGATACTTGGGCAGAAATTCAAGAGATGTGTAAACTTCTCTGGAAGGCTTCTCTGTGTCCCTAAAGTAGGAATTACAGATTCACCTTTTCTTTGCTCATTGCCTGGGCTGCTGCTTCTTATCCCTATGCTTTTGTGTTTCTTTGTTCTTTCTCCTGTTTCCATCAGGAATTGTGGAATAGTGTGGTAAAATCTACCCAGAGTTTTAGGAACAAACACTGTTTTTGATATATATGCTTGAAAGAAACTCTACTGAGCAGAGGTACAAAATGAAGTGATTCTTCATTACCATGTTGAGTTAAACTGTGGAACTCCTTGACTTGATATTGTGAATGCTGCAGCTTACATGGGTTTAAGGACATACAAGATAGTTCATGAAAAACAGGCTTGTTAGGGATGCTAAATGGGAATGTATGTCTTGGGGAGTTCACCAGCCACAAATTCTTGGAGCCTGGAAGAACACTGGGAAAGTACCACTGTGTTTATCTTGTTCCTGCACCTTGTTTTAGCTACTGACAGGTGAATTAGCTGGATCTTTGGTCTGACACCATTGCAGGGTTTTATTGTAGGGAACACAAGCCTACATTAAGTGCTTCATTTTATGTTTGTATAGATTCCTAGGAAATTCCAGCCTGGGTTTTACTGCCTCCAAAAGCAGTGGGAACAGAGCAGGAGATTCAACACATTAGTATGTAATTTCTGGCTTATCAAATACTTTCTCCTCGTTCCCTCTTCATTTTGATCCCAGGTCATACCTGTCACAAACAAATGTGGTGCCCTGTGATTAACAAACCTGGTGGAGCATCACATTTGCTTGCTGCCCTCTGGCAGAGGCTGACCCAGGGAGTGGGAGCAAGTAATGGAAAGGCTCTCTTTCCCTCTGAGAAGGATTCCTAGGGCAAGAAGTACTGGGTACTCTCTTGACAGTGAGATAAAGATAAGTAAGGAGAAATACAGTTAATGCCATTTTTTGGTGGCTGTCACTGCAGACTGATGGGACGGGAGCTGAACTGGGATTGAAGTGAGAAAGGGGAGGAAAAGGACTAATGGAAGAAGAGTAGATGGTCCCTTTTTGCTGCCTTATGTTTGCAGGAGCTTCAGTGAGGGAGCTCAGGAGCTGGCCCTAAGCATTCAGCAAGGAGGAGGGAGGCAAAGAAGTGCTGAAAAGGGAAAGTGAGAGGAGTCCATCTCTGGCTGCTGGTGGGGATGCAGAGTGAGACCTTCTCAAGCCCTCTGCCCTATGTTTACACTGTGAAATGTCATTCTTAAGTGATGTTTCCAACCATGCATCTTTCTGTTAAGTATGTTTGTTCTGTCTTTCTGCAAATCCTCTCTGGGGGATGCATAGACATTAGTGGGGTTCTGAGAAGCTCTGTGGTTTGTTTCCACTGTAAAGCTGCTCCCCTCCCTCCCTGAATCAGCTGAGTTCCCATGGGGGAGGCTTCCTTCCTCACCCACTTAGATCAGTTGCTGTCTGCAGGCTGTGGATGCTCTCAGCCTGATGCTGTGTGCAGCAGCAGCCGTGGCTTTTCTCTGCTGCAGCAAGTGTTGCCTCTTGATGCTGCCTTCCCTGAGGGATCATTAGCAGGGTGGAGGCTATTTTCTTTCCTAGAAACAGGAAGAGAAGAAGAGGATGAGAGATGGGAGGCCTAAACAATCTAGAATTAGATTACAGTATGAGCTCAATGACATCAGCTCCCTTCAGTCTTCCCACCCATTTGCTCTCTCACGGAATTTCTCTTAGGCTGACTAGGATCTGAAGGTACCTATAATACCAGGCTGAGCCCTTGGTGGATATTTGGGACCAAAGGAAAGGATCTGCCAGTCCCATTCCCTAGTACTGGAATGTCTGGGTATAGGAACTGCATGTTGCGCTGCACAGATAACTTGATGATGTTAACAGCCCCGTATCACTAGGTTTCAGAGCACTTCAGATCTACTGTAAAGAGATATAGTCACCTTGAAGTCTAGCGAATGAAGATAAAACCTAAAAGGACTAATAACTTTTTCAGCTTTTGTTGTAAGAGCTCTCTCTTTCTCTCTTTCCCCCCGCCTTTCCCTTCTTTGTGGTTATATGGCCACAAAGTTCACAGAGTGCATTCACATTTAGCAAAACTGAAGTTTATGGCTTGTTTAAAAATACAAGTTTTGTTAAAGATTGACCAAAGAAAAGGAAAAGTGGCTTCATAGAACTAGGAAAACCAGCTGTGTGCTTTGTGGCTGTAACATTTCTGAGCAGGATGGACTCTGGGTTGGCACAGCCTCTGTCTAAATGACAGTCTTGGACAAGAGAGGTCTGTAACTGTGCACCATGAGCTCAGAGCGTGAGTGGCACCAAGCATGGCTGATTACAGACAGCTCAGTTCTTCCTAATGTCTCAAATATACCTGTGCTCTTTGATGTATGGGCATGGGGGAAGCTGCTAAAATGGCCACAACACCTACTCCAGTGCCTCTCATGTAATCCTGCACGTGTGTGTGTGGTGATGGATCGCTCCTGTGTCTGCACATTGCCAGCTGCCCAGGTTAGTGTATCTCCTGCAGAAATAGCTTGTGAATCAATAAGCATAATAAAAGTGACCCATTTCTCCCCTTTCCAGATAAAATACTTAATGCATATGTGACTATTAATTATTACTATTAATTATTTTATCCTTTCATTGCTAGCTCCTTTCTGCAGCACTTATTCCTCACATTTTGTGTATGCTTGGCCTGTGGAACTATGCCACTCACTCATACATGATGTGCTGGATACTTTTTTGATGTTAGAAAAGGTCAAAATAAAGTAATAAATGAAAATGTTTGGTTTATTCCCCCTTGAACACAAGTATTTTAAAACAAAGATAGCCAATATTGAGAATATACATGAAGGGACAGTAGGTTTAAGTCTCAGTAGGCTTGAAATAGTTCCCTAGGAAGGGGAAAAAAAGGCTAAGGAACTGCTTTGGTTTCTTTCAGCCTGTTCCCTCAGAACCTGAGTGCCATCTCCATGTGCAGGAATCTGGGATCTGCATGAAAGGAGGAGACTGTAGGCCACAGTTGAATCTGATCCCAGCTACAAACCAACACAGGTGGTGTTGGTTCCCCTTAGGGGCTGGAATAAGTTCTGTGTCACTGCATAAACTGCAGCGTTGCGAAACTGGCACTTAGCTTTCTGACCTTGCAGACAACATCTGCTTACTCAGGCTTCTTGTCTTACTCCTAAAATTACTCTTGCCACAAGCCATGTTTCCTGCCTTTCTGAAGGTGCTCCGTGTCTCTGCATGCACGGCGGCGCCTTTAGACTGCTGCTGTGCTATGCAAATTTCTCTCTCTGTGGAATGGTTCACTCTGAGGATTTAACCTGTGGACCTGTGCCAGCGCTTCTCATCTCTGAATACATGGATTCTGGATTGAGGATTTGAATATAGATTTTGCTTCCTACCGATGTAACATAATGAAACACACCTTCGGGTGATAAACCACCTACCATTTGTAGGGACTGAGCCGAGCTCCAGATCCCTGTTCTTATTCAAAGTTTGTGGCCAAGCTAATCTCTAAGTAGAAAAAATTGATAAAACTCATGAGGAGACAGCCAAGAAGTTGTATTTGAAGTCTTTGAGCTTCAGGTCTGAATAAGAATAATGAGTAAGCAATGTCAGTTGACTGTTGTATCGTAATTAAGTTCTTAGGCATCCACTTTCCCCTCAGAGAACTGTGGAGCTGAAGTTCTTCCTGTCAGAGTGCAGGTGAGGTTTGCCAGGTTACCTTTGTGAGCAGTTAATACACATAAGTTCACTGACAGTTTTGATATGCTGCTGTACATCTTCCTGCTTCACTGTGTCCACATTCTTCCTGTAGGCTGGTGATCACAATTTCATGTGGGACGAGATATGCTCAAGACAGAGATACGAGACCTCCAACATATCCATGGATGTACTGGGGGGTCTGGATGCTTTGCTCTGAGCCAATGCTCAGCTGACAAGTTGTGGTGTTAATAGAAACTGTGTTGTGAGGG